TAATCAGAGCTCATGGACTAACAAAGTCATCACTCCAACACAGCTCCCTGTGGACTGAGACAGATAAGCCACACTTTTAAATACACAAACACATTTGTCTCTAAAAGAAGAAATTAGCGGGCAGTGACAGCCGTGTGAACCTGCAGACAGGCACACAGACCTGTCACCTGGACACCCTCCTGCGGGCATCGTGAGGCAAGGCTGACCTACGACCCCACATTCGGTGGGTTGGAGCAGGGGTGGTGGCACTATAGCTGCAGGGCTCTAGCACATACTCAAAGTGCCACTGTTTCCTGGGACCCACTGTTCAACAATGCCCTGCAGTGTTACTCTTAAGCACACAACGTCATTTTAGAGTTAAAGCTACAGAAAGGCTCACAGAGCCTGGAAAGGCCTCCTTCAGTTTTTAATATTGTTTTGGTAACTGAATTTGAAAAAGTCATATAAAATGTCACCGTGGAAATAGATGATTCAAGTCTCATACCCATCTCCTTAGCCCCTTCCTTAGAGAAGCTAACAAGGACTAGGGTTCGCTCCCTCCAGAGGCATAAGTGATAACAGGCTTCTATTTTCCTTAATTCTATTAGTAAATGTTACATGAAATCGTAGGTATAAAATACAGCTAAAAAGTCTGAGTATGCCCTAGTATTATTTGCTCAAATAGTTGAGGTCCACTTTAGAATATATCCAAAACAGTGAAACTCTTTCATGAGCAGAAATACAGTAAGGCACTTTTCCAGTGTTTGCCCAGAACAGGTAGCTTTCATGGAGCATTAAGCCTCACCTAAAGGAACCTACCAGAACTAGAAAATACGGTTTCAACAATGACACAAGACACATTGTGTTTTGTGTTATGCTGTCCCTGAAAGACAGTCATCCTCACACCATACTCCATGGGCCACGGCACGCCAGGATGAATAATTTCTGCTTAAGGACAGGGTAGTTCCTGCTCCAGTGGCCTTCAAAAACAGGAGGCAATCAAAGTAATGACCACCAGGTTCCCATAGCACGTCAGATATAGCCAGTGACATTAATATGCCACCTCGGGCTGCATTTAAAAACGGGAAAAAAACAAGATTGGTCTGTTCCACCTTCAAGCTGTTCCTCCACCTCAGGCGGTGGGAATGAGGTCAGAGGGCTGCCACTGAGGCATCACAGACCCCTGCTCTAAGCCGAGGCCGTGCCATGGGCTTGTCCAGCATGCCTGCCTTGTTTGGGAAAAGAGTATAAAGGAGTAGGTATGTTTACCCTGAAACTAGGAACACCCAATTGGTGCTTTTGAGATAGTGACAAGAAGCAGAATCCGCCGTTCAATCGGCACCACTCCCAACCACCCACTCATACCCTGGCTTTCCAGGATATGCAAACGTCAATCAATAATCACCCGAATTTTAATCTATGCTTTTACAAGAGCCTTTTGAGGGCTTTCTGAGAAGATGACTCAAGTTAAGCTTGGTTGAGAAAACTCTTTTCCTAGCCTGCACTGAAGATAAGTGCAACCATTATCAAATATTCTTTGCTGTGAAAAATACTTAGAATTTGTGATGTTAATGTTCTTTCCTGAATCTAAGTCACTGTGATCGATCATACAGTCAGATCATGAAGAACGATGTCTACATGCATTGCAAGAACTTTGAAAACAAAAGAAAATGAGAAACTTGGAGTTCATGGTGGTGGCAACAGAACCTGAAGCAATCTAATACCAACTCCAGCCTGCTGCTCCTCTAAGTCCAGCTCTTCTGGGATCAACCCTGTGGCTGGCTGGCGCTTGGACAACAGTTAGCAAGCCTGCAGCCGGAGAGACTTCCACTCCTGGGGATTCTATGGCCAGTCGGAGCTTCCTTGAAGAATTCCAAAGTGTATTCACAGCAGATGTCTGGCTCTCCCTTGAGGAGTCACTCCACAATCAGGGCCACATTTATGTGTGACAAATCTATCATATGCCTGGGAACATTTAAAGAAAACTCAATGTAAACTCTGAACATCAACCGTCAACTTACCAAGGTGGGAGGAAACTAAAGGGCAATTCTTGACTGACAAAAGGATGCACATCTTATGAGAAGATCCTTGCCTGCTCTCTGTGTGTCCTGAGTACTTCTATGGTAACAGGTGGGCACACACACCTGCCACTGTGACAGTGGGCACAGCACAGTAAAAAGGCCTTCCCTCCCACTCCCAAATCTCTACAACCACAGAACACACTGGCTACCTGTGGAATTTCTGCTGAAATGCTAATGCGTGGGCTGGCTCCTTGAACTTAGCTATGGCTTTCCGTTGCTGGGGAAGCATCTGTAAACTCTAGAAGAAGAAAACAGAAACATTTTAAAATCATGTTCTAAATGGCAAAAACAAGAAATACTAATACATATATTTATGCACTATTAGCTTTAATACAAAATTTGAGTTCAGGATGACACTTGGAACAAACGAACTGACTTTCCTTTCTTTCTATCTCGCTGGCAATTTTTCTTACCTGTCCAGGTAATCTATTACAAAACAGTACTTTAATAAGTCATTCCCATGAGTAACACATGCTCCAAGCCTGGTGTTAAGACCTTCCATCATCTGGCCACATCAACTGCCCAAACCTTCTCTGTGACACCTAGTGGCTGGAAACCTTGGATAGAGGCACTTCCTCTTCTCACATCTTTCTGTCAATTGATTTTTAATAGGAGCCCTCACTAATCTTTAAGAACAGTCATACCAGAGGAAACTGCTGGGGGACCCAACAGTCCACAGGACGGTGACTCCAGTCAACTCTTTGGCACAGAACAACTACTCCAGAAACCATTCTTCACAGTGGAAAACAAATGAGTTCATAAAGATTGGTGAGAAAAAAATGATGAATTCAGTCAAGATTTGCAAAGGAAGCACTTGAAGAAAATAACTAACATCTAGACCCCCAACTTGCTGTAAGGAGAGAGGAAATACTTTTTTTATCTGAGGCTCAGGGTTTAGGGGTTAGAATTTGGAAGGGACAGGCAGGGGAAGACCTCAGCAATCTAGGTGCTGCTGAGTGAACTCTCAGTCAACCTCAGTCTCCAGAGTCTGGTCCTTCTCAATTGTTTTGTGACATAGTCAACTTAATATCCGCGTGTCTGGGGCATCATGCAGGTGCCCTTGACTCTTCTAAGAGCAGGTATCGCTGGGCAGCTCCTGGCATGGGGCATGCCATCTTTTTTTTTTGAGTTGGAGTCTCACTCTGTCGACCTCCTGGGCTCCGGCGATCCTTCCGCCTCAGCCTTCCGAGTAGCCAGAATTTCAGGCACGTGCTACCATGCCCGGCTGATTTTTTGATTTATTGTAGAGATGAGGTCTCGCCAAGCTGCCCAGGTGGGTCTTGAACCCACGGGCTCAGGCAATCCACTCACCTTAGCCTCCCAAAAGCGCGGGATTACAGGCTGAGCCACCGAGCCTGGCTGGAACCTCTTGAGGCTCCACATGGCATCTTCAGTGGCCAACAACTATCTGCCTGAGTTTCTGTTCAGGGACACTAGATAGCTGGAGATAATAACTAACAGTGACACAACATCCTATAAAAGTCCTTACATGTGTGGTCATTCATTTTGAAGTATGTCAAAGATCTACGATGAAAGTGCATAACTAAAATATCAGTGACTTGAAAATGCTTAAAAAATCTATACTGTGTTTGAAATAGCTATTCTCCATTTTAACAACCACAGAACTTCTATCAGAAAAGAGGACTGGTTAAAAAAAACAAAAAACCTCAAAATGCTTTCTATAAAGTTGTCTTTCAGTGCTCCTGTAACAACATTTACAGCAACAAAAAGTTCCAAGTCTCCAAATTAAAGGGCATTGATAAGGTTAGCACACCAGCCACCCCCAGGATGAGGCACCCAGGGTGCCCTCACTGACAAAGGCCAGCTTACTGACACAGGCCAGCAATGCAGACCACTGAGGCAGCTCATGAGGAAGCAAAGAACTTGGTCTGTTTATTCTGAAACAAGTTAGTAAAATGCCAGAATGAAGCTGCCAATGGAAAATGTTTAATATCAGAAGATTTATTTGTAAACAAAGTGCCTTAAACCTCCATTTGGCTGAGGAGGTATCAGTCAAAGAAGTATAAACTTTCAATGAGATCCTACAAGCAGAGGAATGACTAGGTTTTTAACATGCAACACAATAACAGTGCTATCTTAAAATTTGTTTCCTATCCGCCTTGCTTATTTACATTTTTTGCAACTTCTTTCAAATAATCCCTATTTTCTAGATGTAAGATTAAATTGCAGAAATTGTCAATATGAAATAATTTTTGATCTACCAAAATGACAAACATTGATGATTTCTTTATTGAGAGCAGAGGAAAAGAAAGTGTAGTGAAAGCTAAAAGACTGATGATCACCTGCTTGTATTTTGAAATTATATGCCTATATAATTCAGTAACACATTTTCATATAGTGAAAAGTTTTCTTTTCACCCAGAACAAACCAAAAGTTACAGTCTATCTCAAGTCTACATATTTACTCTCCCCCATACCCTCTTGCACTCCTACCCCATAACTTAAGGCAGAGGGAAAGGTTCGTATACCAACTTTCACTCTGATTACCATCACTTTCCAAAGATATTTTCTGACAACTTCTGAGGATAACTAATTGTACTGCTATAATTAAGTAGCAAATGTGAGTAAAAAGACTACTACTCTGGCCGGCAGCTTCCTGCATTTGTATCTACCACCCCATCTAGAACCATATGACAGTCATATCACACCACCTAACAGGGAAGAGCTTCCACAAGCCATATCACACCACCTAACAAGGAAGAGCTTCCACAACCCAAAGTTAATTCCAGAAACACTTTCACGTTGTTCAGAATCCTAGACTCTTTACTCCCATTAAAGAAAAATTCTCCCTCTTTAGAAAAAGAGTCTATGCATGTGCATACGTGTATGGTTGTAATAAGAAGTTGCCTGACTAGCAGAAATTCGCCTCTTCCATTTACTGAGGACAAGGATCAGTATCCCATTACCCCATATTCCTCTCTATTTTAAGCAGAATCTTCTGATTCGCTTAATATTAATATTAATTAATGTCACATGGTTCCCATTCCTACTGTATCCTTTATCATCTGGAATGTTGAAACACACTACTGTACTTATGTCATTTCAGGTCATGACAGTTCTATAAAATATAGTTATCCTTCCTTACTCTGTAAATAATAGGTTCATCATTTACAGAGTAAATAAATTTTCTACAGAGGCTCATGAACATATTTTAAGGAAGCAAAATACTAAGTCAAGAGCAAAACTTGACACCACACCAATGCTACAGTGAGACAAGTTTTTAGATTCCAAGGGTTTAAAAAGTGTAGTTAACATGTAGTTACTAGAATTTTCTATAATTTAAAGGTCCAAAGAAATAGGGATCCCTCCTAGTCTAGACAGCACCATCACTTGAAATTGTGCTACTGAACACTAGGTGGCACCATACCCCAAGGCAGATAGAGACTTGACATTTTATTCCAAATCATTTGGGATGAAAAAAAAAATCACCCCAAAACAGAGAAAGCTTTTTCCCTCAAACCAGGAAAACAGCGCTAAAGCCTTCAGTTATTTAGCACTGTCCCTTTAAAGTACATATATAAACCACAAGGAAATTTTTTTTCTGATAGCCTCTTTAAAATTTATATTTGCTAGCATTCCTTCTTGAGCTGTCTAAAGAAGCTTATTACCAGTTTTTGTTGGGTTTTGTTTTTAACTAAGAAACCTGGAATTTTGTGAATGCAGTGTTTAGTAAACTGCCACTCAAAGCCAGCCCACGGCCCTAAGCCTGGCAAGACACACGAGGGCTCAGTTCTGTTCTGGAAAGGGGAACAGGCCTTGCCCAGATGCTCGACTCCTCGCCCTTTAGGAACCTGCAGGGGCTCATGAGACCTCACCCTGTGTCATTCTAGGAGTCACAGATGTAACCTAAAAACTTTCATTCTCATTTACAACGTCTGCTCTAATTAAGCAATTAATATCAATCCCAATATTGCTTTTTGCTGGGATTTTAAGTGGTCCAAATCAAACTTTATTTATAACACCATTTCTAATTCTTCTAATTCTCTTCAGAATAACAATAAAAAAGTGGCAAATGAAAGGGAAAAAGGACATCTACAACCCACAGTACAAAATGTAAAATTCTATTTGTAAGGCAGAGGTAACAAGGTTGTGCAATGGCTCCAAGATGATTTTTACAAAGGAGCCAATGAGCCTCACTCCATGCTGTGAGAAGCAAACAGCACTTGATAACTGTATCATATTCAAGAATTTTAAAGAAAATGATCAAGACTGCATATGACGAAGCAAAGCTTATAAAACAGCAGATCAGCCGGGCTCGGTGGCTCAGCCTGTAATCCCACGCCTTTGGGAGGCTGAGGTGAGTGGATTGCCTGAGCCCGTGGGTTCGAGACCTGCCTGGGCAGCGAGACCTCATCTCTACAGTAAATCAAAAAATCAGCCGGGCGTGGTAGCGCATGCCTGTAATTCTGGCTGCTCGGAAGGCTGAGGCGGAAGGATCGCCAGAGCCCAGCAGGTCAAGGCTGCACTCCAGTTTGGGCGACAGAGTGAGACTCCAACTCAAAAAATAAAAATAAAAAAATAAAACAGCAGGTCACACACATATGGAAACCAAAGTGTTGTCCTTCTGCTCACAGGGAAGTGCAAAACAACCCGCTGACAAGAGGATCATCAGGACACTGGATCATAACCATATGCCCCACCCGAGTACACGGATGAATCTGTGGTTCTGGGTTTTCAAATCTGGACTCACTGCTAAACTGTTATTTGACCCAGAATTCTCAATTACCATCTGTTCTGACAACCTTGGATCAGAATAACCACATTTTAATGCATCTAAAATAATCTCCTGTCAACTCTGTTCCTGCAAATTAATCCACATTATGATCAATTGTTTAGAAATAACCTATCTTTCAGCATAAGCTTTGTGCTTCTGATAACTGATAAAGTGTCCCCACCTGCACCACCAGCAGCCTTATCTATTAACAGAGGCCAAAGTTTGGGGGTTACCTTCTCATTACTACACCCGAATGAAAACTAAACCTGATTATCTTTCTAGGAATCCAATAATGAAGGTGGTAGTAATTATACCTCAAAAATACGTACTGTTTTGGAAGGACTTTCATCTACTCATTTTTAAGAACTCAAGCTCTAAAACATATAAATTAAATACCTGCATGAACTCTAGCCTGTAAATGTTTCCAAATTCACCCATGAAGCAAGAGGCTGTAAGATATTCTCAAAAGAAAGCACTCTATACCATTCAGAAATCTAACATTTACTCTCAGTGTCCTAAAATGGCCATTAGTCACATTTTCAAAGTGCTCTGCTCTCAGATCAACTTGGGATGCAGGGTATGGGACAACAGCAATGACCGGCACCGTGGGCAAGACCTGGCAGAAAAGGCCAGAAAGGGACTAGGTGGGTAGATGGGCTTCTTTGCTAGGTCATTTGTAGGGTTCTGGATCTGCAGATACCGGGGGGTTCAATGAATGGGAAACTCCATTGCCAAAAGCCTTAGAATTGTGTTCATTTCATTTGCAGTCAGCTCGGCAGGGATGTTCAACCATTAGAATTAGCCAGTTTTAAATTAAGAGATGAAAATACAGTCTAAGTTACTGTAATATTTGTAAATTCTAAATCAAGTTCCACAGCTGTTAACAGGTAAAGTTTTTTCTGGAAATGAAGGACAAGAAAGCTAAATACTTTAAGATCTAATCAACTACCACAAATAAAACAAGTGATTTGATGGAATGGAAAGTGTATATGTATGCGTGCACTGTGAACTTTATGATAACCTGAGAATCTCAAAAGATAATCTGTTCAACTGAACTATTTCTTAAAATTTGTAATGAAGAATCTGAAAACTTCGAAACAATCAAACATTGAGGCAAGAGTTCTGATGTATTTATCTTCCTCCCAAGTATTATTTTAACATGAAGTGACCAACGCAACAGGTACTGTGTTTTAGATCAAGAAATGATTTTGTCCTGGGACCTGTCAAACCCTGGCACAGACCACACCCCCAGGCAGCTACCTGGATGGGTCCCACCGACATCAGCAGGCTCTTCAGCTGGACGTCCGTGGTGGAGGAGGACAGCCCCTCCACAGACACCACGCAGGGCTGAGGCTTGCACTCCACCACCCGCAGGTTCTGCTTGTTGGGCATCAGGCGCCCACGGCCCATGGGACCCGCCACTCCTCTGCCTCGTCCATGCATGATGGCCTGGTGACAAAAGACATGCATTCTGAGTTTGGAGTTCAGATTTCTTCCACAGCTCCTAAAATATAAACGTGAGCAGATAACTTGGGATCTCTCAAAACATGACAGGAGCTAGGGTTTTCTATCCACTCTCAGAGAGAATATTCTAGTATCTAAATGAGACAACAATACCCAGCCGGTCTAGGTAGAGGAGCAGGAGGGAACTAACAAACCTGAATCCCTCTAGATGCCATCAGTCACACTCGTGTGCACTCTGTATGTTACCATCACTGTAGTGGAAGCCCCATGGGGGATCAGAAACTTGCTGCAAACTTGTAAATAAAGTTAAAGATGAAGAAACTCAAGTACATTATGCACATTAACAGGGGCGTACTTTCTAAGGACTTTCTCAGTCCTAATAGCCCAAATTGCTCCTATTGTATCACAGGCTGGTTTCAGTGGGAACCTGCTGTGTGCAGTGCTAAATCCACCTTATAGTCAAAACAAGCCATGGCATTATGTACCCAACTCATCTTGTAAAGACTGCATTTGCTATTCTGAAAACCTAAAAGGCAGATTCTGCAACAAGGGTTTCGCCCCTGGCTGCACACTACCATCATCTGCAGAGCTATTAAAAACAACAAACAAACACAACAATGACAATATCCCTCTACCTCCAGCTATGGGCACCCATTCTAAGGTGGGGTCCCGACATTATCATTTTTTAAACAAAACCACTGCTCTAGGGTCTTTTAAAAAAGAGGAGACAGCTGAAATTTTCAGCATTTTCGCCTAATTAGAAAATTAGTACAACTGTGCCCAACTTAAGAGCTCAAGATACAGTGAAATGCAGAGGGCAGAGTGGAAATGAATAGCACTAGGTTTTCCAGATGTCCTATCCTCATTCTGTCCTAGAGTATGGGTAGAAAGGAACTAAAATGACCTCCCAGTCCATGACAGAAAAAGGCAGAGAGAAAGAGGTGGAAATCAGAATTGAACCTTAAGACTGGGAATGTGCACCAATGCAAAGGGAAAGAAAAAGTAAACCTCAGTATTTCTTAATACTCTGCAGAAGGTAACAGCATGACTCCTTGTGAAGCAAGTTTTAAAACAGTGCAAAGGAGCCGGCTCAGTGGCTCAGCCTGTAATCCTGCGCCTTTGGGAGGCTGAGGTGAGTGGATTGCCTGAGACCGCGGGTTTGAGACCCGCCTGGGCAGGCGAGACCTTATCTCTACAATAAATCAAAAAATTAGCCAGGCGTGGTAGTGCGCGCCTGTAGTTCCAGCTACTCGGGAGGCTGAGGCAGAAGGACTGCCGGAGCCCAGCAGGTCGAGGCTGCGGTGGCCAGTAGCGGCCTCTGCACTCCAGTCTAGGTGACAGAGTGAGACTCCAACTCAAATAAATAAATAAATAAATAAAACAGTGCAAAGGGAGTACGGCAAGAGATACTACACTGGAAAACACATACCCAAAGTTGCAAGGTGCATTGGCTGGAAACCAGTAGTCAATAACTTTTCTTCTGTTCTAACTATAATAAGTTAGGATATTAATAATATCCTTTAGCAAAAATGCTTACTTACATGTCAGACACCAGGTTTTTTATATCCACCTTCTATAGAAGCCTCACAATCGCTCAAATAAGATAGAAAACATCATTATCCCAATTTATAGGAGAGTAAATGAGGTTTGTGATGAAGAATTTCAAGTAGTTATGTATGCACGTGTATGGGGATGTGTTTTTCTAAGGTTTTTCTCATCATATATTTAGGGATTACACCTGAATGAATAAAATTCACACTGTGCCAATCTTTGGGACTGTATCACTTTAACACTGGAGCAACACAATGTGTCTGTACATCTGTCTTCTGCTACAAAATGGAATAATCTGGTTTGCACCCATATCATAAATGAAATATATACAATGAAATTTAAATACTTCAAAGAGCCCTGGAATTGTCTTAATATCAATACTACTTGGTGGCAGTATGAACAGGAAGGATGACCTAGCCACCCTTCCAGTACTCCTGGAAACAGCACAAGAAGGAAGGGAACTGCTCCCCCTTCTCCCTGGCTGTAGCTTCACCGACAAGTGGTGCTGGCTTCTGCACCAAGAGAGGCCTTCTCCATCTGGCCATCCTCACCCTTCCTGCAGAGCCGTGAAGACTCTGAGAAGCCTAAGAAGATGCCTCCCCCTAGCAGTTGAAAGGAATGGGCCCTCTGTAACTAACATTCATGACAAGGTGTCACTCTTAGTTCACCCACAGGAGTGCAGATACTCCCACAGAAGGGGGTATGGGGAGCATCTTGCTTCTGTCTGACAGACTGAGGTCAGAGAAGCCCCCTCCAACCCACAGGTGAGGGAAGAATAAAGAGCTGGGAACTGCCACTTTCTTGGGCAAGTTGCTTCACCTCCAAAGGGCTCAGCTTCCTCTCCCTGAACTGGAGTCACAATTATGAAATTCATTAATACACACCTGATTCCACACCTGTGAATTCTCTGGTGAATCAGTGAGGAGAGGAAGGAAAGTGTGCTCAGGCTGAGGTTACATGTGTGTACATAAACACAGACATGTGTGGACACACACTGCCTCCAGAACACAGCACAAATGCTGCTGAGTGTCTAGCTCAGAGCTGCAGGAAACAACCACACTCTCAGTTGTGAGTGATTTACTAGAGCTAGACTGTTCGATAAGCCAGGAGAGGAAAAGGCTTCAGTGAACATGTTAATGTGTTCTCAAAGTGAAAACAAAGGACATGATGGTTCATTTATTAATGTGAGTACTACCGTGTGCCTGGGACTACAAGCTAGAGAAAACGCCTAAGACATGTCCTTCTTAACTAGTAGGACATATCACCTGCAGGGATCATGGCTTTCATGTTTCCAGAGCTGTGAGCTAGGTAAAAAGCTGTACCTTCTTTGCCGGGTGAATTCCTTGGATGCTTTTGATCCCTGGAGGGACAGCTGAGTGCGTGTGGGGCCCCACTGGTGGGTGTGGGGTCTGCTGGAGGCCCCCTCTGGTCAATGTCACCTTGCGGGCAGGCTGCGGTCCCCCTTCTGGAGGCTGAGGAAGCCGCTGGGGCTGGCCTTCCGGGTGAAAAAAGCCATCACTCTCTCCTCCCTGCTGAAACCAAGAAGGCAGTGTAATGATGAGAGTCTGCTCCGTTCAACACTTCTTTCCCAGCAACTGGGAGCATGCCTCAATCAGTGCTCACCCGAGAAGCAAAACCATCACACAAAAGTGCAAACCCAAACTTGTCATTTCACTAGAGCCAGCATGGGCATTTCTCACTGGAAAGTGGTCAGGTTTTAATGATATTCTTGAAATTTAAAACACTAAAATTACCTTTAATTACTGTATTCATTTAAGAGGTCTGTGATTTAAACATGTGCTGTTCAACTCAGCGAAATACTGTTTAACTTTTTAAAATACCTCATATTCAACATGCATTTTTCATTTCCAATATGCATTATTCCTTTTCGAGAGCATTCTTGTTAAAATCTACAGTATGCACAAGGAGTGGTTTCAAACTTCACCTGAGAGGGCCATCAGCCCCACCTCCTGCTGGTGATGGCTGTCTCCGTCGCAGTGCCTTCCTTCAGCCCTGGAGACAGTTATTTCAAATACTCCACTCTTCCATACAGTGTTCCCGAGTGCTGAAGAGGACCCACTGGAATAATGGCTAGAAACTCCCTTTCCTTCTGCTGAGTTACAAGAGCCTTTGGCAACCACAGAGTATGTGGATTTCAGAAGTATATTTACTGTACTAAGAACTTAAGAAATATCAGAAATCCCACCTTCTGTGTTTTACCAAAGTTCACTCATTTCTTGACCTCAATGCTTGTTAATCAACTAGGAAGCAAGTGCACATTCAAGTTGTGCTACTGAGGCTGTTTGTACCACCTGGCAGCATAAAACTATCTCTGAATGGTGCCCATTAGCTTCTTTCAGTACTATGAGCAGCACCTTTTCCAAAGAGCTGCTGGAGACTGGGAAAGGAGGAGTAGAGAGTAACATCATCAGATCTTGCCCTGCCAAACTTTGTAAAAATGGATGCTTGGAACTGAAAAGGAAGATTAAGGCTTTTATTAGCATGATGGCTACTCTCAACATCAACAGGGATGTACTGGGTCAGTAAACCTTCCTCACGGGCGCTCAACTGTGTCAGTGTTTCCAGGGGTAACTGGTGAATTAGCTCCTAAATGTATCTCATAGAGACCATTTAATGGAACAAGGGGCTCTGCAAAGAGAAGGCACTGGAGTAAGACAGTGTGAACATGATTTTTGCTCAGACTGCCCAAAGTACTAGGGAATCAAGAAAATAAGATTTAAAAAAAGGTCACACAGGGGTAGGACACTGAGCTACGGTGGTATGAAATGGTCTGCAAATTTTATTTCCCCCAAACAAGTAACAAAACTGGACAAATTATCCACAACCATCATTTCAGGACTCTGGAAACCAATAAAAGTGAAACAGCAAACGGAGAAGTCCTTACACTAAGCTGTGAGGATCGCACAGTCTGTGGCCTTCCTGATGGGCCCCCAGCGGACAAGGCCATTCTATTAGCATGGGCAGGGCGGGAAACCAGGAGGGGCCTGCAGTGCCACAGCAGCGCTGCCAGTCCAAGGAGCAGGCCCTTGCATTGGGAAAGGCTAGGGAAGCCCACAGATACGGGAGCCTCTGGTCGCGGTCCTATTTGGAACAAGCAGCAGACCAGTTAGAAATCTGAGAAACCTAGGGAGGCAGTTCTGGAGTTGAAAGCATCGAGAAGGCCTAGATGAGCTCTCCCCATGGGGCTGCCTGGAAAGCTGGCAGGAAGCTCCGACCTACACAATCACTGGCCACTGTGTCGGTGCAGAGTCCACGTAACTGGGCACAATCTCTTCCCAATCACTGGCTGGTTACTAAGCTATGCAGCAAGAGAGCTAACCCCCTAGGAAGCCAGACTAAGAAAAAAATAAGAATAAAAATAACGAACAAAAAAAAAATTAAACTGAATAAAAACAAAAAAATACAACATGCCAGAATGTAGGGAATGCAACTAAAGCAGTTACATCAAAAAAGAAAAAGTTCTATAATAAATCATTTTTGCTTTGCCTCAAGAAGCTAGTCCCAAGCAGGGCTCGGTGGCTCAGCCTGTAATCCCACGCCTTTGGGAGGCTGAGGTGAGTGGATTGCCTGAGC